GAGCGCCCCCTGCTGGCCCCACTAACACCTCTTCCAGCAGCAACTATGTTGAATATGAGTTTAATACCTTCAAAATGAAACACATTTTTCTTTCATTTTTTCATTTTAAAATTTCTGTTGTTTTGGTCACATCTGCAAAAAAAAAAAAACGTGTACCACGTGTAACATTAGTCAGAGGACTAATTTACTGTAGCAGTCAGCTTCTTTTTCCTCTCTGCTTTTCCTTAAAAAACATTTCAAATAGGAATCATGATAAAATCGTTTCATCAAGAAAGCAAAACAAAGGGTACAGCAGTACACGGAGTGCACTCCATGCTCTCACGAACGGCCTTAGTATACAAGGACAAAAAAGACCAGCAATTTTCACATAGTCAGGTCTTCATTGTGAAAAGTATTTAAACGTTTCTGAGCATAAAAATAACAGGAAGAAGCTGAAGATGTTCTGGAGAGTTTAAAAATATTACCGATTGCATTCATATGAATGAGTATCCATTCATCCATTTTCTAACTGTTTTTCCAATTTAGGGTCACGGAGGATCCTATCGCGCGCAAGCAACGGGTGCAAGTCAGGATAGTGCTTAGTGCTTTATTTGGTATAATTCTCTCATGAACATCCAAACCCAACAGCCGTTACAATAATATGTGGATCGTATTAAATACTGAAATAAGATCAATATACTGTAACGCAACGGGGGCTCAGACGGGTGCCCTTGCCGCATCTGGTCGGCCCCTGCACCGACCGATCTCTCTTTAGCTCACGGGGCTAGGTCGCAGCAGAGAGACGCGGAAGTCCCGGGTTCGAGCCTCCAGTCGGGATGGGGCCGACCAGATGCGACAAGGGCGCCCGCCTGAGCCCCCGTTGCGTTACATTGGTGTCAGAGTGGGATGGGATAACCCTTCGCCGGGGACGGCGATTTAAGCGGGGGAGAGTGTAACGCTTACGGCCAACAGGCACTGTGTAAGAGCCGGCGTACCAGAGCAGGTGACGTCACCGCCCTTCCCTGTGATAGCAGGAC